TGTGCAACCGGAGATATTTAGATACTTTGTTGTAGGCTGTTGCTAGATATGTTATCTTTCAAGGACAGAATATTTCTGCAGAGGAAAGTTGTGAAATCTGCCAGAATAAAAAGATTGGCTGAAAATGTTCAGGATCTCCAGTGTAGGGGCCTCGGTATGTGGTACCAAACACAGGCTGAAGTGTGTAGTTCCTTTGTGGTTTGTGTTACATCCTCTTTGCAACAGATTAGGTCTTTGCATATCATCAATCATAACCGCTGCCACTGCACAAACACCCCAGCATGAATCCTAGTGTGCTGAAAACTGCTGGTATGCAGCTTTAGGGAAGTATAACTGCATAGCTGCAGTCCTGTTTTGCAAAAGACCAGAAAATTCACAATTTCTTGAAAAAGGAGAAAGTGTACTTGCAGGCAAGGCAGGGGCTGACTACCTGTAGTGTAAAATAATTGCTTTGGCAGCTTTGGTAACAGCAAGCATCTTGTGAGTTAAGATTGGCTTATTGGCTATTTAATGGGTTTTTTAGATGTCACGTTCACCTTACTCTTGCAAGTATTCAGAGCTGCTGGAATGTTACACTGAACAGTCACTCAGCTCCAGCCAGGGACCTTGGAGATACTCACAATTTTATACTAAAGAAAATACTATGCCAGTGTTCAAGATGAATTAGTTTGTCGTACTAATTGCCTTCCATCACACTTCAGAAATTTTGAAGTGATGCTTTCAGGCAGGCACTTTTACTTTATTTTCTTCTCTAAAGGAAATAATTTTTTTTTGTTTTCATGCTGAGAATGGTTAGAAAACGTGAGCCTGCTCTTGTTAGACTGTCAGTTAAAATCTGAGACAGCCATATTGTTTTTATTAATCCATCCAGAACTCAATGTTGTTGCATTAAACCCGGTGCTTTTCTCTATATTTGAGTTTTTCAAAGCTCTTAAAATTTGAGTTTTAATTTCTGGAAGACTGTCTGTAATACCCTGTAAGGGGTTGAATCTGTTTTCCTAGGACAAAACTGATTTTGTGTGGTATGCAGAGCTATCCTTTATTGCTAACTGAACAGCAGCATCTGCTTAGTAAAGTTCCGTATTCGATCTAGAGAAGTATTTGTGTATTTTGAGGTGAACTGTTCTGTAACTCTTGCAGATATTTTGATCTTAGTTGATAAAACATCAAGGCAGATGTCAGTAGAAATTGTCAGGATAAGCAGAGTTATAAGCTGCAATAGTTTCTATTGAATAACATTAAAAATTAAAATTCACCATTTAGAATCAAATTACAATTTTGTTCTAGCAAACCCTGGAATATCTTGGGTTTGGTTTTCCTTTTTAACTCAAGCTTTCGTTGCTGCTTGCTAAAAGAGTTTGGTTTTTTGTTGGTGTTTTTTTGTTTTGTGGGGGGTTTTTTGTTTGGTTTTTTTGGTTTTTTTTCCTGTGCTCTTCACATTTTCTTTTTCAGGCATTGATGCCTCCTTCCCTTCTGACCTTGAGTGCTGTCATCTGGAATTTCACAGTGAT